TCTCCTTTAGGGACAAGCATGAAAGGAGACTATTTAAAAACTGGAAACCATGTTAGAGTTGTAGGAACTGAACCTCCTCAGTCTATGGGACATCCTCCCGATGGTGCAGTGACCTGTCCAAGGCCTCAGAGCCAGTCGGGGATAGAGGCAGGTGCTCCTGGACTCATCCCACTGCAGTCCTCTGCCTGAAAGCAGAGCAGAGGCACAAAATCAAGTCTGCCTGGCTGCCAGGTTACTGCGCACTGAGCTCATGTTCCTGCACGTGTCCTGCAGGCTTCTCCGAAGCCTCCTGGCCCTCTCTGTAGATGCAGCATCAGGCTGAGGCCTGAAGGGGTGCGCAGCCCTGTGTCTTTCAGTAATTAACGGCACAGCTCCCACCCTGTGACCCCTCGGGTGACACCGCTCTCACACCTCGGGGCCAGCCCCTCCAGCCTGGAAGTTCAGTGTGGTCTTGTTTAAGAGCCAGGGCCAGGAGTCAGAGAGACCAGGTTTCAGGTCCTGCCTCCTCCACTTCTTACCTTTTTGACATTGGACAACTTATGTCTATTCATTTCAACAATGACTCTGTTGCCCCCCTTCTCTGGGTGTCCCAGGCCCTGGAGGTTAGGACTGCACAGACAGATATGGCTTGGGCATTATGGACCTCACATTCTCCCTGGGGAATCAGACCATCAGTGCAATGACAAGCAAATGCAAGGAATTTTGGAGAGGGATATGTGTTTTGAAAGAACAGGAAATGTGATTATGTATGTGAGGCAGGGGCTAGACACAGAGGTCAGGGATGAACTTGAAGAAGGATGACACATGAGCTGAGACCTGCACCAGGACCAGATGCAGGAAGGGCAGGGAAAGGGTGTTCCAGTCACTGGGCACGGCAATGCAAAGGTCCTGGGGCATTGGTGGGCTTGGCCTGTTGTGGAAACAGAAAATAAGGCTTCTTTGTCTAGAAAAAATATGGCCAACCAAAATATCCATCTCCTTGGGGTTGTTTTGAAGACCACATAAGGTAAGTAGAGAGTAGTTGGTAGCATGCCTGACAATAAATGCTACCTAGTTGCATGCTATTGTTCAGAGGATCACCACTAGAGGGTACGGTCTGGCCTGAGTCCTGTCTCAGTGGAACACAGGCTCTTTTTCCTGATTTTAGAAACAGCACTTGTTGTTCCCTCTTTCTGGAATGTGCGGTCACTCCTCCTCTCTCCCACTCCTGCCTGGCAAACCACTATTGATCCTGGAACTCTCAGCTGGAATCACAATGCTTCCTTCTCCACAGTCACGACCCTGGTCCAGCGGGTCACATCCTGTATCCAATCCTGTGGTGCCTTCCTGAGAGCTGACCAGGAGACCCAGGCCACTAACCTGAAGGCTCTGGAAGGGCCTGACTGCTGCCTCCAGCCTCACCTGTCAGTCTGTGTGCTGTGGGTGTGGGCCAGCCTCTGTGCGCTCTCTTCCTTCAAGTCTGACCTCAGACTTTATTTCCGAGACCGTCCCTCTCTGTACTCTATCTCTTAACACCCTGTTCTTTCCTTCAAATGGGCATCTCACACTGTGACTGCAGATGTATTTGATTATTGACTGTTAATCTTTTGCCTTCCCACCAAAGATAGAAAGTTCCAGAATAGGGGCTGCATCTGTTTTGTTTCCCCTCAAGAACTGGGAACCTGCTCAATAAATACTTGCTGACAGATGTCCCCACCCTCTCCTGCTATTCCTCTTGCTACTCAGTCCTGTCCTTGGCCTCCTTTGCTGGCTCCTCCCCTTTTGCTTGGTCTTCAGATGTTGTTGCTTCTCAGGGCTCAACCCAAGCCCTCCTCTCTTGTTAGCTCCCTTCAAAAGCGAGGGTGCCTGTGCCCACATGCCCACCACTTCAGATGAGCCCCTCATTTATACCTCTAGCCCCAGGGTCTCCTCTGACTACAGACCTGCCTGCATCTCCAAGGCCCCCTGACACCTCCGCCCGGGCATTTCAAGGCATCTCAGCACCTCCCATGCTGAGTTGTGCTTGAACCTGAGTTGATACGGGGCTCCCCTCCTCAGGAAAGATCAGTTATCAGGGACAGAGATCTCAGAGTCAGTCTGGGGGTCTCCCTCCCCCTTCCTCCTTATATCTACCCACCACCAGGTACTGCTGATTTCATCCCAGGGTATCACTCACCTGCACTGGTCTCCCCACACCCTGAGCTACGGTCCCCTCTACCTGGACACTGAGTAGCTTCGGAACTGTCTGCCCTGTCCTTGCTCCTTTCATGTGCTCTCCATGTAGCAGCCATGGTGTTGTTTTAGAAAAACAGGCCTGGTCTCATCACTCTCTCCTTGTTGTGACCCCTCAGTGGCTTCTCGATGCCCTCAAAACAAAGCCCGGGCCCCCCTGACTAGCTGGTCTTTCCTCCCTGCAAGAGCACTGAGTGCCGGGTAGGAATGCCAACCCATCCAGGCCGAGGGCCAGCTTCAGGGCCCCAGCAGGGTGACTGGGCCCTTGCACCGGAGTTCAGTTCCAGGTCAGAATCTGAGCTGACCCACAGCTGAGCGGTACTTCCAAGAACCTCTTCATAGAGCCAGGCTCATCAAGTAATCTTTGTGTGTGTACATCTAGGCTGGTGCCAGTGTCCCCTTCCCCTGGCCCGGGGTGGGAACAACTGCCCTATTGACTCAAGTTCTCTGCTCAACCTTAGTGTTCTCATTCTAACACTGCTGACTCTCAGAGGCCTCCCTCTCTGGGAGACAGCTGCAGACAGGGTCTGCATCTTTGCTGTAGGGTCCCCTGGATCTCCGGGAAACCAAGCATTTCGCCAATGTCCACTGATAAACAGACCCTGGCACCTGTCACTGCTGCCCGGGTGCCTCTTCCCTCCCCTCCTGCAGTCTCCCTCAGCTCTGCTGCCAGGATGATCCTCTCCCATTGAGTCTGGGCAGGGCTCTGCACTGCTGCAGACCCTCCCAGCTCACTCTGAGTACAAACCACAGTCTTTGAGATGCCCAGGGCCAACCTGATTTGACCACCATGTCTCTGACATCAACTCCAGCATATGTGCCTTGTATCCCTCTGTCTGGCCACCCTGGTTATCTTGCTGCTCCTCAGACCCTGTGGGCACACTGGACTTACACATTCTGCTAGGATCTTATCCCCCAGACATCTCATGTCTTCCTCTCTCCTTTCCTTCAGGTGTTTGCTTAAACGTCCCTCCCTCTAAGGAGGCCTTACCTGGTCTCTCCATCTACAGTGCCCCCCCCCCCTCCCGCTGTGCACACACACTTGTCATTCCCTTTCCTTGCCACTGTGTTTTCTCTGTACCACTTAGCACCACATAAAATGATATTGTCTACTTGTTTATCTTGTTTGTTGTCAATCTGCCCAGACTAGAATGTAAGTTTCATGAAGGTAGGGATCTTGTCAGCTTTTCCAGTTCTGGATGTCCAGCATCCAGAACAGCACTTGCCATATAAACAGATGTTATATACATGAATGAACTTGTTCTCTTTCCTGGCTTCGCTGGGTTGTGGGCTGTTTATGAAGCGTGCCTCTTCAAAGCCAGAGGCTCTGTAAACCTTTTTGAAAATCACTCCTCTGCCACCTGCTGTGTACCCATTGCTAGCATTGGGGGTGGTCTCCTGCCCTTCACAGTTAGCCCTCAGAACGCTCAAGGCTGAATCCTTAGGACCGGATTACATTTCTGGAGCCTTTCTGGAATAAACCAATGTCTGCACACTGATGCCCATCATTATTCAACACCGATGCTCATTTATAATTATGATTATTATCCAACACATAAGGATCAATTCTCTCTGCAATTAAAGCTGTAATGACTGGCCTTCTGCGGACTGAGCTGACATGGACCGTGTGGGCCTATTCTCATGAAGGCTGACCCCTGGGAACATGAACATATAGGCACTGCCACGTGGTAGAGCCACCTAACAATTTTGCCCCTTTCCAGTGGTTTGCATTTAAAGTGCTTATGGTAATAAGAACAAACGTTCTGGAAGAGGGTTACTGCACCACCTGGAAGAATGTTCTAGTAGTTCTTCCAGCCTAGGGCCTGTCCAGGTATAATAGAGCTAAGAGGCTGAAAATAAACAAGAGGGTTTGGTAGAGTCTGTACCCCCTGGAGTAGCTAAGAGCCAGGCCTTCCCTGGGGGGGGAGGGTCTCGACCCCCTGCACCAGAGCCTCTGTCATGCCATGTGCCAGCTTGCTTCTGGTGAAGCTTCCAGGCCTTCTCCATGGACTCCCCAGGCTTGGTGCTCAGAGCCCTTCAGAACTTGCCTACCCCTCCCACAGCCTCCTGCCAGGCCCTGCACAAGACCTTGCCTTCTCACCGCTCCCTGGATACATCTGACATCTTAATGCTTCCAGGGCTTTGCTTGATGTAGGGCAATGCTGCCACTCAAAGCAGAGCAGAAGAACTTCAGAGATGCCTGCCTGCCACAACGGTGTCATCATCCTGTGATGCCTGGACAGGAGACTCCGACGGCTGGGACCATGTGATCTGAGTGCCAGCTAAGGAGGCCTGGATGCTACCTTTTTACTCAAATGGCTCTAGCTATTCCTCCAAACAAGAAAACCTAGGGGCCAACACCAATCAGCTGATTTTCAGTCAAACACGAGGATCTGCTGGGCAGGAGGAGGCAATGAGAGGGCAAGGGGGACATGAGTTTCAAAAGAACTTGGGACCCCAGCACATGCATAGCCACCACACAGCCCAGGGGGGCTCCCTGGGCTGCCCCTGCCCCTGGCATCTGTCAGTCTGCATCATAGCAGGCAGAAGAGTAGGGGTCGGTTCCCAAGGAGCCCACTCTCTGGTTAGATATAAACCTTTGTTAGGGTTGCACTAAAAAGAATGCCCTTGGCACCTCTGCCCACAGCAGCTTCAGGGAAAGAGTTAAAGCAGTCCTGCATGGAGAGATGTAACATTTTCCTCCCACTACGTTCAGCTTCGGCCCATCCAAAAAGCAATAATCGAGACAAGTAACAAGGAAAAATTAACTAGGAAAGTTGCCAAAATACCCATTTTTCCTCTTTTCCCAGTTGCTCCTTTTTCTCCTTTTGGGCCCTGGGGACCAGGCTGTCCATCTGATCCATTGTGTCCTGGTAAGCCACCAACTCCCGGAGGTCCTGCGTCAAAACATGGGAAACAAGAACATTTAAAAAAATCTTCACTGAGGTTAACATGCTTTCCTTGAGCCAGTGAAACTGGACAGGCAATGTCTTTTCCAGATCTTCTCCTGCCTATTCCCTTCATTTTCTACCTGTGCTGACCCCGCCTGATACAGTGACAGATGGGGAGTGGTAATGGCAGGTTGTCAAGTGGGAGGAAACAGGAAAGCTGGTGATTTGGGGAGAAAGAAGGAGGGGGACACATTCATAGTCAAGGCCAACTCCAGATTCTTCCCCCCTTCCCACCTCAGTCTCTTCTGAGGGATCCTGGGGAACTAGCTCCCCCACATCCTCCCCACAAAGTAGGAAAATCCCTGGGTTCTTACCTGGTGGGCCAGGTGGTCCTACAACAGAAAAAGAAATTTAGATGATAAAGCATGGGTGGAAGAAAGTGCAGTCAGCACCACAACCCCAAATCAAAGAGTATCTACCCTCTCTTAACATATTCTAATCATCTACTGGCCCTAGGCAACCACTCCATGCCTTTTATTTAGAACCAAGCATAGGGACGTCTAGGTGGCTCCATCAGTTAGGCATCAAACTCAGTTTTGGCTCAGGTAATGACCTCACAGTTTTGTGAGTTTGAGCCCTGCATTGGGCTCTGTGCTGATGGTACAGAGCCTGCTTGGGATTCTCTTTCCCTCTCTCTGCTCCTGCCCAACATACACTGTCTCTGTCTCTGTCAAAATAAATAAACTTAGAACCCAGCACATTTGCCCGAAAGATCCTTAAAAGCAATTCAGCAATTAGCCAATAAAAACCACTTTTGCTTAAGTTTCAACGGACCAAGAATAATTTCTGAGTGGGCTTCACCACAGATTCAGAAATCAGTCATCTCTCAAGCAATCAACTTAATTAAGTGAGGTTTGGTAACAACACAGGAGGGCACTAGTGCAGCTTGGTACAGGTAAGCATCAACAAATGGTTGTGTTGTCATTGCAGGGCTGAGATCTGGTTGTCATGAGAAAGCAATCCCAAGAACTCTCATCCAGCCAGCTTGTCTCCTCCAGGCCCCCCAGGGTGATTGAGAGCAGAAGCTGGTTCTCAGGCCTCTTTCTGTTGCATGAAATAACCTGAGAACAACTGAGCACCCATATCAGGTAACAAAACACCTTGCTTAGTGTGTAATTACCTGAGGATCTAAGGAGTTCAGGTGAACCATTTACACATAATCTAACAAAACAAATAGGAGAGTGTTATTGTCAATTATTTTATTTAAACACTCAGACAAGCTGGTGAATTTATACCATGAGTAGGAGAGATCCTTTTGTTTCTCCAGAACATATACAGTGAATACCCACAATGGAGTAGAAAGGTCTTTCTATAAATCAAATTTCGTGACTTTGCAGAAGACCACCACTTACTAAGCACTTACTATGTGCACTAAAATCAACCAAGAATCAGAAATCTTGGTCCCTGTGTCTGCTGTGTTTACTATGCAGCTGGGGAAGGCAGACACTCTGAAACCACAGTGAAATAAGAGGGAGGGAGTTTCGGAGAAGCAACCCCTCAAGGGAGTACTGGGCAGTCTGGACACATGGTGATCTGAGAAGGCCTCCAGAGACAGTGAACCTTGAGCTGTGTCACTGAAGAAACAATGGGCCTGGCATGGCCATGGGGGTGAGGGCTGGGCATTCCAGGTAGGGGGCTGGCAAGAGCAAAGGCGTGAGGGTGGGAACTTGCATGATGCAGGATGAGAGAAAGGAGGAAGATTGGCCAACCCGGCATGAGTAGAGAAGAGTCTGAGTAAGCTTGGTGGGGGGATGTAGGGCAGCAGCATTTGAATGCCAAGCAGAGAGGTGTAGGTGCTATCTGCAAGGCAATGGGGAGCTACAGTAGATCTTAAGTAGTGGATAATGTTGTGAAATCTGTGTTTTTGAGATCTTTCTGTAGCTGGAAGTTGAATACAACTAGGGAATAAGATGAGAGAGAAAGAGAGGTGGGGCGGGGAGAAAATACCCAGAGGATCTTTGTAGTTAAAATTAGGGGCAAGGTTGTGGACAAACACAGTTGATAACTGTATAGTTGTGTAGAAAACTAGAAATTCAAGAGGTATTTCAGAAGAATGAGCAGGGTTCCATGTCTGATTGGGTAGGAAGCAAATGAGAAGGACTCTCAGATGACTGGAAACCTAGGATATTGATGGAAACAGGCTATTTGATAGACCAGAGGACTCTTGGAAGGGTCAGTGCCTGAACGCACACTTTCAATACACACTGGCCTACTTTGGGCAAAAATGATTTGCTGAAAATGGCACCATATTTTTAAAGTCAGTGTAGCTTTACTGACTTTACTGAGTGTGGCTACATGGCTTTACCACCAGATGGCACATGCATGTATACACACATAAGGGGGTGATGTGAAACAGTTGACAGATGTCAGAAGAAACCAATCATTATTCCTGACTACAGATGGAGCCAAATTCAGGGGTGCAGACTGGTAGAAAAAAAAGGTAAACAATCAACAATTGACTGTATATTATAGGTTTCAAGATTTCTCAGGACAGTCCAACAACCATTTCTATGCAGCAGTAGTACTGGAGAGAGGTCCTGCCTGGAGCTGTATATTTAGGACTATTCTTTCCTGGCTAAGAGCATCAGTATGGTGAAATGTTAAGATTAGGGTTTCCTGATATTGACCTGAAGGTCTCTGACACCTATGGCTACAGTTCTTAGTCATTTGAGTCCACAGAATCACCTAGAAAGCTTGCTACAAGGCAGATACCCAGACCTCAGCTGGAGATTCTATTTCAGTTTGGATTTAGAGTGAGGCCCAGGAACATGCATTTTTACCAAGCACTACATGCAGGTGGTTCAGGAGCAGATGGTCTGGCGTACTCCAGACCTGAAGGGAAACTTCTGGGAAAAGAATCAGTCACTATAAACAGACCCTTAAAGGGGTCCCTGACCCTAGAAAGGTTGAGAACTATTAGTATGGAGGCAAGAGTAAAATGTCCAAGCCACATTTGGGGATGGAAAGAGAGGGGAAACCATGCCACATCTGGAGGGAGGTGGGTGAGAGAAGAGCCATCAGGAAAGACGGTGAAACTGAAGATGTGGAAGGGAATCCAGGAGGTCCTGAGCCCTGAAACTAATGGAGAAGAGAATTTCAGAAGAGAGAGGATGACAAACACTTCCAAAAATCTCAGAAGCATAGCTAAAGTGATGGTGAGCCTCTCTCCCAGAGCCCTCTCAAGATGCCAACAGAACTGCCCAGGGGCCCCTTGTACGTGGAAGAAGCTCTAAATATGTGTTATTATAATGATGTCAAACATCAAATATGTGCCAACTTGGCCTTTAAGAAAACTGGTTTGCAGGATGTTTTCTCAGCTCTTAACTTCTCTTCTTGAATAACAGAACCCCTGGGAATACTTGTGGACAGCCAAGTTCATGTTAGCACGGCATGCAGGGCTGGTCTGATGGGATAATGGGGCATATCTCAGGGACTTGAAGCCTTGGTTCATATGTGCTCCTGTCTCCCACTACCTTCCTGTTGCTCACTGCCTCCTGGCCTCCCCAGGACAATTTTTCTCTGTTGCCTGCTCCTGTTTTTCTTTTTCTGTTCTTGCTTCTGATGTGTCTGCCCCACTCCCTGCCCAGTCAGTGATGGCTACCACCTTCCACACTGGTGCGGGCCAGTGTGAGTGTGAAGGCTAGGGTTGGACATGTGCCCTGCATGCCTTAGTCACAGATTGGGGTCTCCTGTGCTTGTGAGGGCCTGTTCTTGTTCTGAGAGCATCCCATGCCCTGAAGAGTATAACACTAAGTAGCAAATTAAAAGCCCCACCATAGCAGGTGGAGAAGGAAACCAATGAAAAAAGGAGGAAGCCCTTTTCCTACATTTTGAACAAGGGGGCCTGCATTTTCACTTTGCCCTGGGCCCTGCCAATGCCACAGCTGGCTCTGACTGCCCCAACCCACATTTCTAGCCAGAATAGATTAGAAGTGGGTGGATGCTATAGCTGAGCCACTTGGAGGGTTTTCCTCCTTGACATCTAAGATTGACCCATGATGCCCCTAGTTATGTAAATGAGAGGTCTGTAGATGGCCATGCAAGGTAAAACAATGCCTGTCTGCAGAGAGATGATCTTAAGAGGAGGTGGTGACTGATGTTGGTGTGATGGAACCACAAGATGGCAGCACTGGGATTGCAGAGTCACCAGAAACAACCTGGAGCGCCCTGGACTTTGTGCCAGAAAAAAGCCTTTGCTGTGTTATGCCACTGAGATTTTATGGTTTAATTGTTACCAGAGCAAGGCTTAGCCTATCTTGATAAATACATCCCTCTATCCTTACAATAACTGGCAACGCCTTGCCTTTTTTCTTTTCTCAAGTAAGCTCTGGTGGGTTTCTGGTACCAGCAAACAAGAATCTCAAACTAGACAGGGCATACAGGCATAACAGTTATGAGGAATGAGTACTAAAGAAGTATAATGCTCACTTCCTGTCTTTGAGGGTGGGCTGGGAAGCCTGCCCACAGGGCTCCTCTCACCATGGCCATTCCAAATCACAGGGAAAGATTTTACTAGCCTCCTCCTTCACCCTGGGATAGTTGCCAGACCCAAGGCACCTGCTTAGCACAGCAGTTACCACAGGGGATGTGGCTACACATTTCCCAAAGTCTTGCTGATCTAGGAAAACAAAGAAGCCCCCACATAAAAAAATCCAAATAGGAATATTTCAGAAAATGAGGTCTGGTTTTGCTGCTTTAGAAAGAGCTAGTAAAAGATGCAGCTTCATAAGCCTGATACCACCAGGCTTGGTGCCGGTGAGGTCTGCGGTCATGATTGTTTCCCTCTCCTCCTTCCAGCAGTGATTTCCTGGGGCTTGGGATTCATGCCAGTCACAGCTTTAGGGCCAGACAGGAGCTCTGGCCAAAGGGAATGTGACTCCCCTTTCCCTTGGGAGCCAGGAATAATTGGCTGTCCTTCAGAGATGGCCTAAGCTCTCACATGTGGAGCAGGGATCTACCGACTCTAATAGACAACGGCCTACTTGCTCAGTGAGTCCAGCTGAGGGAGAACCTGACCAGCTACACTAGCTGTTTCTGAAAACAGCCTGTCAGTCAGCTTACAAAATGTTGCACTGGCCACAGCTTTGAGGCCTCAGTACCCACTGTATGTGGACACCCTCTGCAGCTGTTGCTGCCACCGAGTATTGGGCCAGTCCCAGGATGCTTAACTTAGAAAGGCATCTTTCTTCACATGTCCCCGCTAAACAGCAGCTTTGGTCCAATCCCATTTATTTGGTGCATTTCAACCTTCAACTACGGCATGGCAACCTTAAAAATTAGAGTAGGGATAGCAAATAGATTTTCAAGCATTAATTCTAATCAATCAGTACAGCTCTCTGGAAAACCCGGAAAGAATTACATGGGGACATGCTCAGTGGAAACTGTGATTCATTATTAATGTCTGCCTGGGTACAGGATGAGAAGTGACTACTGCCATCACTGGGATTGGAGTCACTCAGCTGTAAGGAGAATAGGCACTGTGGACATGAAGCCCTAACAAGCAGGTCAGTAATGTGACAGTTTAGAGATTTTCCAGCAAGCCCATATGCAGAGTCCACTGGAAGTGAAGAATAACCCAATAACCTGCCTTCTTCAGGACACTTGCTTTTCCAGAAGGTATACTTCTGAGTTCCCAAGGAAATCTGGGCTTAGGGTTAGGATGCATCCAGAAAAGCATGCTCTTTGTACTCAAAAAGCACAAACTTGGCACTAGCAAAAACTCCTAGCTACTCTACCTAGTGAATTGCTCTCACTCTACCTGAGAGGTTACAGGCTGTACACACCTGTCCTTGTCCTCATAGCCACCACAGCTGCACCCAGAAAAAGGAGCAGGGATGGGGTTTCACAGTCACAGCTGGACTAGCCTCACGTCACAGCTTCTGCTTTTGCAAAGATGAGTCCACTGTAAAGCTGGATCTTGTTCTCAGGCCTCAGGCCCCCAGCCTGTAGTCTGCTCTGGCAGCCCTTCCTGCCAGCATCCGCTTGGGGCTCAGGACCAAGGCTCTCTGCCCTTCCCCCTGGAGTTGCCAGTTCAGTCCTGGGTCCTGTCACCTTCCTGCTCCCAGTCCAGACAGCTTGGTCTCTCCCAAGTTACCACCTCACTCTGCAACTTGTACTTTTCACACCTAAGTTTTAATTGAAGAGATTTCTGTGTAAAGGGGGACCCAATTTCCAGCAGGCACGATAGAGAAGGTGCTGGCTTTTGAAAAGATTTTGAGGTACCGAAGAATAACCTCCTCGAACCATTTCCACACATATGCGATTCCCATCCCCCTCCCCCCACATCTTCCCTAAGTGGTCTTGACAGCTCCGTCTGCATTCACTGAACAGCCTGGCTCTCCTTCTATCACGTCTATAAAAAAAATATCAAAAAGGAAGAGGCTTTTCCTGTACCTCTCAACAGGGCTTTTGTGTCTATAATTCCATCTATCTGAGCATTTCTCTAGTGCTCATTACTGTCACATGGGGGAACTCTGAAAAGGACCTCCAAAGATGGGAGAAAGGTGCTTAAGACACAAGAGTTTTAGAAATGAAGGACCAAGCTGTCCTGAAGATATTTAATTTTCTGTGAGGGCTGAAATGTGACTTGAGTAATTCAATTAGCACTTCCCAAGAAGACACAGCATTACAGCTTTTGTCTCTAGCTTCAAACTAAGAAAACAAGAGTCAGACTTGGATGCGGGTTTCCTCAGGGAAGTACCTTTCTTACTGAAAGATACCCCTGATTTAACCATTTACAGAAATGATAGATATAGTTGTTCAACAAAGTCCCATTGTGCTCCTAATACATGGTAGGTACTGAGCGGTTCTGGGTAGGACACAGCAGCACAGGACAAGGTTTCTTTCTTTTGTTTTCTTTTCTTTTTTTTCTATTTTATTTTATTTTTTAAAAATAGTTTATTTTCAAGTTGGTTTCCATATAACACCCAGTGCTCAACCCCACAAGTGCCCTTCTCCATGCCCATCACCCCCCTCCGACTCTCCCCACCCCATCTGCCCTCAGTTTGTTCTCAGCATTCAAGAGTCTCTCATGGTTTGCCTCCCTCCCTCTCCCCCACCACTTCCCCCCTTCTTCTCCCCCAAAGTCCTCCATTAAGTTCCTCCTAATCCTCCTATACATGCAAACAGGACAAGGTTTCTTAGAACTGGATGCACACTGCAGAAGTTCTTATTTTTAAGTTTATTTATTTATTTAGAAAGAGAGAGAGAGCAAGGGAATGGGGGATGGGGCTCAATCTCACAAACTGTGAGATCATGACCTGAGCTGAAATCAAGAGTCAGATGCTTAACACACTGAGCCACCCAGGTCAACAAACACTGCAGAGTTTCTTAACCCAGTACTGCCTGGTGAACAGGGACCTCCCCAGGGCCTAAGGCCATAGGAAAAGGCTCATCAAAAGCTTCATCAGGCTTCAAAGTCTTGTGGTTATGTTTTAAAGTTCACGACCATAAAAGACTCTTAAATACAGAGAACAAACTGAGGATTGCGGGAGGGGAGGTAAGGGGAGGGGGATGGGCTAAATGGGTGATGGGCATTAAGGTGGGCATTTGTAAGAGATGAACCCCTGGGTTCTACTCCTGAAGCCAAGACTACACTGTATGTCAACTAACTTGAATTAAGAAGGAAGGAAGGAAGGAAGGAAGGAAGGAAGGAAGGAAGGAAGGAAGGAAGGAAGGAAGACAGACAAACACATGGCTCACAAGAGCTCTGCATTTACTCTGTATTAGACTTTTAATGCAAAAATAATTTCCCCATTTCCTCAGCATGAAGGAGAGGTAGGCAATGCTGTGTCTGAAATCAGGGTCTGTAGGCCCATTCTTGGGTCTGGCCAGGGCCTCCCTCTGCCTGGGATGCAACACTGGGTGACCGTTCTGGGATCTAGTTCCTTACTGTGTTTCTTACTGCCAGCTTCTGAAGGCAGGAGGCAGGCACTCCTCTCCTCAGGCAGAGGCAGGGTTCTTTCAGACTCAGGGGTACAGGAGCATATCCACAGCACTCTCCTCCTCCCCTGCCCAACCCATCAGCCATTCTGTGTCCCTTGGCTTGATATGCCTTCGGGTTGATTTCCCTTCCTCCTATTTGTCCTGATTCATTGAGTAGAGGGGAGCTGTGTATGACATAACCTCCCATCTCACCTAGCACGCAGTAGGCACCACACACGGAGCACTCTTCATCAAGAGTGTTTTCTTGACTTATCAGTAGTTTACTTCTAGAACTTTCCATTTATGCCATATGTATGATGTAAGGAAAGAATTACTTCTGGTAAGGTCTCTTTCCTTCCTTTCTTTTCTCTTTTAAAAATTAATGTGAATAAAGAAAACATCTATGGCCCCAGTTCAAATGTATGTACCACACATTTCTAATTACCCAATACCCAGTTATTTTCCATGGCTATATTTCTATGGCAATACCAAAAATATTATTTTTCATAATTATACTACAATTGATTTTCAAGTCATTAAAAACATCTGGTAAAGGTAAAACCAACATGTGTTTTTAGCACCCACAGTGTTCCTAGGTGTTCATTCTGATCTGACCCTTTGGCTACCACATGTGTTTGTGGTGTGAGCCACTCCTGCCCAGTGCCAGGCTGGCCTACCTGTCAGGCAGATGCCCTTGGTGCTGTTGCACAGATCCACCATCACTCGGATCTGCAGGGAGAAAGGACAATTAATAGCAGCAAGTGGGCCCCGAACTTGCCCTTTATCTGGGCAAGAAGAAAGCAATGAGATAGATTCACAAAGTAACCTCAGGAGGATATTAAAAAATCTGAGGAAAAGTTAACCTAAAACTGAAAAAAAAAATGCTTAAAAGATCTAAAGATATGTGATAACAGAAGCTCTTCTGTCAATATTGTCAACCAATCTCTTTGATTCCTATCCTCTGAGAAGATAGGATGGAGAAGGAATTGCTCATTCCAGTTTTCGAGGCTGTATTGAGCCCTATCCAGCATCTATCTGAAGGGCCCAATTTTTCTGTGCAGGTTGAGTAAAGAGGGCAGGCCTGGTGGTTGGGAGCATGCACTTACTAGCTGGGTGAGCACAGGTGCAATACTTAGCCTCTGGACACCTGGGTTTTCTCTGGAAATGTAACTACTCTGAGCACTTGTCTTGAGTTCTGTCCCTGGCACATGGATGCTGCCCCAGATGGTGGTAATTCTCATGTCACGTGCATATTGCCCATTCATCACTGGATAGCCATCCATGGTAGGTGGTCACTGTGTCATGGTATTAGCCTGGTATCTGATTTCCCCACACTTGCTTTGCAGTCCCTTCCCCGATCTACTCTCTATGCTGCACCCAGTGAGTGTCACAAAAACACAAATCTGACTGGGTCAGCCCTGATTCACATATTGTTGTGATTCTTTGCCGCTCTAAAGTTAGAACAAAATTCCCCCTTCTTCAAACTCATCTCACACCACTCCCCTTTCCCTGTCTGTCTCCCAGCTATACTTTGCCTCAGTTTGCTCATCTATAAAATGGAGTTAGAAACAGTGCTTATTTCTTAGAACTATTGTGAAGAGTAAGTGAAATCATTATATGTGAAGTTCTTGGAACAATGCCTAGCATGTAGGAAGTATACACAAAAGTGTTTTCCATTTGGTGGGGGCAGCAGAGAGAGTAGAAAGGAGCATAGATTCTGAAGTCAACCTGCCTATATTCAAATCACAGCTTTGCCACTCACAAGCCATGTGATCTTGAGGAAGTTATTTAACCTCTCTGTGCTTCAGTGTCCTTATCTGTAAATGGAGCTAATAGCACCTACCTTATAGCAATGTTATCTGGATTAAATGAGCAAATACATGCAACACACTTAGAACAGGGCCTAACACACATGAGAATCACACTCTATGCTACTTTTTTGATAGTTCCTTAAATGTGCCAAGAATGACTTAGTTAATTTATTAATTTACCATCCAGTTGTTTTCAATTTACAGATTCAGTAATTTTTAGACTCAAATACTGCGACATTTCAAAACTGTGGAGAGAAAACTTATTAGTTAAGGAATAAATTTGAGACAGCTGGATGGACATCGGGGATAGATATCTGGAGGATAAACAAAAAGTTGAATCCTTACTTCACTCACTACACTAAATAAGTTCATTAAACTATATTGACAAAACCTTTAAAAATGAAAAACAAACTGGAAAAAACTTGGGAAAAAATCTTATAATGGCATTGGAGTAGGAAATAATTTTCCAAGAAAGAAAAAGCCCCCATACTATATGTAGAAAGGATGTATAAATACTGTCTAGTAATTTAAAATTTCTACAACATTGGGGTACATGTGCCCCTATGCATCAGCACTCCTGTATCCCTTGGGTAAATTCCTAGCATTGCCATTGCTGGGTCATAGAGGAGTTCTATTGTTAATTTTTTGAGGAACCTCCACACTGTTTTCCAGAGGGGCTACACCAGTTTACATTCCCACCAACAGTGTAGGAGGGTGTCCATTTCTCCACATCCTCGCCAGCATCTAGAGTCCTCTGATTTGGTCATTTTAGCCCCTCTGACCAGCGTGAGGTGGTATCTCAGTGTGGTTTTTATCTGCATTTCCCTGATGAGGAGGGATACTGAGCATCATTTCATGTGTCTGTTGGCCATCTGGATGTCCTCTTTGAAGAAATGTCTGTTCATATCTTTTGCCCATTTCTTCACTGGATTGTTTGTTTTTTGGGTGTGCAACACTCTCAACAATAGCCAAAACATGGAAAGAGCCTAAGGGTCCATCAACTGACGAATGCATCAAGAAGGCGTGGTTTATCTATACAATGGAATACTACATGGCAATGAGAAAGAATGAAATCTGGCTATGTGTAACAACATGGATGGAACTTGAGGGTACTATGCTGAGTGAAATAAGTCAGGCAGAGGAGAGCTACCATATATTTGCACGTATAGGAGGATTAGGAGGAACTTAATGGAGGACCGTGGGGGAGAAGAAGGGGAGGGAAATAGTGGGGGAGAGGGAGGGAGGCAAACCATGAGAGACTCTTGAATGCTGAGTACAAACTGAGGACTCATGGGGGTGGGGGGGAGGGGAAGGGGGTGATGGGCATGGAGGAGGGCACTTGTGGGGATGAGCACTGGGTGTTATATATGGGAACCAACTTGACAATAAACTATTAAAAAATGAATCCACATTAAAAAACAATAAAATTTCCACAAGAGGTAAAATACTACATAACAAATGAGAAACATAGGTCTTGAACATAATTGTGAAGGGCTAGTATATAAAGAGCTGTTACAAAGCAATACAGAACAGGAAACCAAAAGGAAAATGGGCAATGGACCCAAACAGGAAGTTCAGAGGAAAAAAAAAGAGTGCCTCATTTTCATTTATAGTTGAAGAAATAAATTTAAATGATGAAATGCTATTTCCCACCTCTTAGATTTGTTAATAAAAAGACTAACAGAGCACATATCATGGAAGTGTCAGGAAAGCAGAACTCCGTCTCTTTTTTCCCCAAAATTTCATTTAAATTATAGTTGGTTAACATACATTGCAAGATTGGTCTCAGGAATAGAATTCAGTGATTCATCATTTACATATACCCAGTGCTCATCACAACATGTGCCCTCCTTTGTACCCATGACCCATCCAACTCATCACTCATCTACCTCCCTCCATCAACCATCAGTTTGTTCTCTATCATTGAGTCTCTTGTGATTTGTTTCCCTCTCTTCTCTTTTTGCCCTCCTTCCCATATGTTCCTGTTTTGCTTCTTAAATTCCACATAAGAATGAAATCATATGGTATTTGTCTTTCTCTGATTGACTTATTTTGCTTAGCATAATGCATTCTAGCTCTGTCCATGTCACTGCAAATGGCAAGATTTCATTCTTTTTGATGGCTAAGTAATATTTCATTATATATGTATATACACACACCACATCTTCTTTATCTATCATCAGTCGATGGACATTTGGGCTCTTTCCATAGTTTGGCTATTGTTGATACGCAAGAAAGCAGCATTCTCCTATTCCTGTTGATGAAGTGTAAAGGCATGCTATCTCTTTGGAGGGCATTTTGGCAATCATTACTAAAATTTAAATGGGTCTACCTTTTGATCCATTAATTGCCCTTTGGGATTTATTCTTCAGATATACTCATATACATGTAAGGAGATAGAAGTACAAAGACGGTGGCTGTAGAAATGTGGGAAAGAACAAAAAAACTTAAATATTTATCAGAGGGGTCTGGTTAAATAAAGTGTAGCATATCCACAAAATGAAATACTTCAAAAAAGAATACATTTAAATCTGTAAGAATTATATTGAAACATCTCCAAGATAAATTTAAAAATGCAAAGTATAGGGCAGCATGTGTAACATACTTTCATTTATGTAAAAAAGTGGTGTGCCTGCAAATGTTTCTCTATACTTCTCTCTTGCTGCTTTCAAGACTCTCTGTTTTTGGCATTCTTGAACATTCATGGAAAGAAACCTAAAAAGCCTCAAGTGAAGGTGAATGGAGGGTTAGGGCAGGAGGAAGCTGTACTAAGCATGAGATACCCTTTTGTTTCATAAGAAATTTTTACAGATTACTCCTTCAACTAAGCTCTTTTTTGAAAGAATTATTTTTTAAAAAAAATTTTTAATGTTTTATTTATTTCTAGGAGAGAGAGAGAGAGAGTGTGTGAGCAGGGGAGGGTCAGAGAGAGAGGGAGTCACAGACTGAAACAGGCTCCAGGCTCTGAGCTGGCAGTCAGCACAGAGCCCGACGCGGGGCTCAAACCCACGAACCGCGAGATCATGACCTAAGCGAAAGTCGGACGCTTAACCGACTAAGCCACCCAGGCACCCCTAAAAAGAATTATTTTTAAATATTTTTATTTTTAAGAAATCTCTACACCCAATGTGGGGCTTGAACCTACAACCCCAAGATCAAGAGTTGCACATTCTACTGACTGAGCCAGCCAAGCACCTCTAGAAAAAACCTGTTTTGAGGGGAAAAATTGTTTTGACTTCTATGTAGGTTTATTCCATTTGCTAGGAGATCCAGACTAAAACTCCTGCTGTATTTACTTTTTGTCAAGCGTGTCAACAGGTTATTTACTGACAGTTTTAGAAATTTATTGTGAAACGTACATATCACAAATACATCAATGTGTACAATTGCAAGATGAATTATAAAGCAAACATGTATATCTGACCGCCCAGGTAAAGAACTGCAGACGCTTCTCCCCATAATGCTCCAGCCCCATCAACTCTCTGACACAAAGCATATTGTACAATATGCCTCTTCCTTTTATCCAAGTAAGAACATAGAAACTTAGAGAGGTGACATCATTTACTCAAGGTCCCATCACTTGTGGTAGAAGAGCTGGACTCAACTCCAGTCTTCCTGTTTCCAGGTCTGCTGTGCTTTCTATTATGGCTCTGATGATGATCTCAACACAATGAGACAAAAGAAATTTCGACTCACTATTTTTAGTCATTTTCATAAATGAATGTAATCAGCTGCACTATGGACAAAATTTATTATCTTAAAAAATGTATAATTGCCCATTGAGAGAACAAAATGCTTCATTTGTTGCCTGGGGGATCATGACAGAAAGAGTCGTTTGAAACAACAGAAGCATCAATAGGGAAAATTAGCCTTTCTCTTTCATATACCCATCATCTGTCAAAGACAGTGAAGAAGGAG